TAGGCCCCCAGGGTCTGAGCATTTTTTTTCTTCAAGGACTAAAGTGAAAATAAAATAAAAGGAGAATGTTAAAGTCTGAGTGATTCCATTTTGGAATCAAAGCTCTCCATGTTCTGTAAGATTAAAAAGCGCGGCCCAGAGCCTCCTCTCAGCCACTCCCACCGGGACGCTGATGGACATGCACGTGCCAACACGCCTCCTGTCTTCACGGGTCGTCCGACCTGAGATTCTACTGTATGGACGAGTAAATCTGACGCCGAAGCAGGTTCTCCTGTCACCTTGTTTATTTCTCTCTTATGTGAGGACAGGGGACCAGCAGACGACATAATGGCTATGTTGCTGGACTCCCATGTTGTTGACCGCAGTTCGAGTTCTGGAGACGGTGGCTTAAACTCACACCAGGCACGCATGCGTGTGTGCCCAAGATCCAGAGAGGAGAATGGAGAAGGGATTGCGGTGTGGCCATCATCCCTGGGGGGCGATTTCTTGCTTTCTGTCTCTGTCTCTCTCTGTGTCCCTCCAGTGAGTGCACACGCCCTACAGCAAAAATCCCTCTCTAAAAAACACACACAAGGACAGGACAGGCCTGAACAAAACGAGTGTTCATGTGGGGTCTGTGGTCGCACACGGGCCACTGCGTCCAGGCGAGTACTGCAGGCTCGTGTTATACCCAGGAAGAGCTGATGGAAACAAGAGGGCATGTATGAAACGAATGCGGCTTTACATTCCAGCCCAGGGACTCGAGGGTGTGGAGGGTCACAGTTAAAGCATGTGGTGGCAGGGTAAGGCTGGGCCTGCTGTTCGGACGACTTCCCGGCCACACTGCCGGTCTGCGTGGAGGGGTCCCCTCCCTGCCTCCGTCGGACGGCTCCGTGGACGCCCGGCCGCGACAGAGCACTGACGGGCCAAGACGTGCTCCAGGAGTGTCCCGGCACCGGGCGGCCTGTCTCCTCAGAGGCGGGCACAGCGCTGACCGCGACCCGCGTAAGGAGCAGGTGCACTGAGAAGCCGACCTCGCTTCGCTGCACTGGAGCGCGGCCCGCTGCATTGCCTCCCCGGCTCCTTCTCCAGGTTCCAGGATTTATTTATTTGTTTATTTCTTCTTTCTTTTTTTATTTTAACGTGCCAGAGGGCACATGTGCTGGTGGGGGCAGACAGAGCTGAGCGAGATGAGGAACGTGAGGAAGAAGCCCCCGTGTACGGGCCATCTCCACCCTTCTCCCTCTCGCCCTGGCTGGGATGTCAACCGTGCACACACAGACACCTGCACACCTTTCAAGCCACTGGGCCCGGGACCTGAGTCACCTGGCCGGCCACACGGAACCCGGCCCCCTCAGCCACCAGGCGGCCGCCGGCCTCAGGCGGTTATTCCAAGGTGCGGCCAGATTCCGGGCCCGGCCACACTCCCACCATGTGGCCCTTCCTCACACCCGACCTAGACGGCCACAGTCGAGGTGCACTCAGACCTACGGCAGCTCAGAGCGAGGCTGAGGGCCTCCTGGCGGGTCAGCTACGCCCATGGGTGACGTCGGTAGAGCTGCCTGATGCTTCTCAGTCGGGTCCGAGGAAGGTGCTTCGCGACGGACGCTGATGTCCTGGAGCCCAGGGGTGAGACCCTTACCCAGTGCCAGGTTACTGGGAGGGCTCCTCAGGGGGCGACTGGGTCATGAGGGATCAGTGCCTAGGAGGGACCCGGAGAACCCGCCGTCCTCCCCTGGCGGCTGCAGTGGGCAGACCTGGCGTGAGGCAGGGAGCTCCCCCTGGCGCTGGACCCCGCCTCCAGCTGCGTGAGTGACTGTCTAACGCGGCCTCAGCTGTGCACGCCCCACCAAGACCGAAGGCCAGACTCCATGGCTGAGCTCCGAGAGCAACACAGGCTGCAGAGGCAGTTTCTACACGGCCCACATAATGGGCTATCTGACTCTAAAAAGTGAATGTGGGGCTGGCAGGTGGCGTGGTAGTTAAGGTGCTGGACACTCCCATATGGCCAACCACAGTTCAGTTCCCAGACCTGGGGGCTCACTCTCTCACTTTCTCCCTCTTCCTCTCTGTCTATCTCTAGTCAAATTAAAATAAATGGATGAATAAATAAAATTAAATAAACATTTTTTGAGAGCTTTTTTTGTTATAGGGTGCATACACTTTGCCAGAGAGACAGAGACACAGAAAGTGAGAAATCACCCCCAGGGGGAATGGCCACACTGCAATCCCTTCTCCTCCATTCTCCTCTCGGGATCTTGGGCATGCATGCACACGCGCCTGGCATGAATTTAAGCCACCAGGTCCGGGACCCGAACCGCGGTCAACTACGTGGGAGTCCAGCAACATAGCCATTACGCTAACTGCTGGTCCCGAATAAATATATATTTTTTTAAAAGTAAATATGCTTGGGACCAGCAGATGGCGTAATGGTTACGTCACTGGACTCCTACGTGTTGACTGTGGTTCGAGTCCCAGAGCCGGTGGCTTAACACTCATGTAGACTAGTACATGTGCGTGCCCAAGATCCCAAGAGAATGGAGGAGAAGGGATCACAGCGTGGCCATCTCCCCAAAGGGTGGCTTCTTCTTTCTTTCTCTCTGCAGCAAGCACTCAATGCCCTACAGTAAAAATCTCTCTTCTCTAAAAAAAAAAAAAAAAAAAAAAAAAAAAAAAAAAAGTAAATATGCTAAATATGTTTAAGGAAATAAAGACAAGATTGAAAACTTGAGCAGAAAACTTGAAAAATAACCAAAGGAAGAATCTAGATTTAAAAAGTACAGTGACAGAAATTGAAACTCCGTAGGCGAGTCTACTAGCAAGTGAGCTGAAGCTGAGAGAGTCAATAAACCGACAGAGAAAAGAAAATGAGGACAAAGCCCAAAGAAACAAAACGTGGCAAACATGCAGGAAAACGGCGGAGACGCAGGGGTACGGTGGCCGTCTGGGTCGGGTGTGAGGAAGGGCCCATGGCGGGAGTGCGGCCGGGCCCGGGGTCTGGCCAATATATGTGCTCAGTATTCAGGAAGAAGGGAGAGAGACGGGACAGAAACGACGCAGAGCGGTGACAGCTGAAAGCCTGCCCATGCCACGTGGACATCGCCCTGCGGTCACAGAGCCCAAGCCGGGTCAGTCGCAGACACGCGGGTGCATGCTTTCCACAGCCACGGAGGGGAGCCAGGCGGGCAGCCTTGGGAGTAACGATGATCTTTCTAACATTGAAACGATGTTTCTTCCTCATGATCTCTTTAAGTTTTATGACTAGAAAACATAATTAGAAATGTTTTTGTTATCATTTTTGTTGCAGGTTTTTTGTTTTAATTTTTGACAGGTGCCAGGAAGAGATTTGGACTCACCTGCTCAGGGTTGACCCTTAGCATCCAGCCTTTCACCGTCTCCATGCACACTCACGCCCTCCATCCAGCCTTCCACCGTCTCCGTGTGCACACTCACACCCTCCATCCAGCCTTCCACCGTCTCCGTGTGCACACTCACACCCTCCATCCAGCCTTCCACCGTCTCCGTGTGCACACTCACACCCTCCATCCAGCCTTCCACCGTCTCCGTGTGCACACTCACACCCTCCATCCAGCCTTCCACCGTCTCCGTGTGCACACTCACACCCTCCATCCAGCCTTCCACCGTCTCCGTGTGCACACTCACACCCTCCATCCAGCCTTCCACCGTCTCCGTGTGCACACTCACACCCTCCATCCAGCCTTCCACCGTCTCCGTGTGCACACTCACACCCTCCATCCAGCCTTCCACCGTCTCCGTGTGCACACTCACACCCTCCATCCAGCCTTCCACCGTCTCCGTGTGCACACTCACACCCTCCATCCAGCCTTCCACCGTCTCCGTGTGCACACTCACACCCTCCATCCAGCCTTCCACCGTCTCCGTGTGCACACTCACACCCTCCATCCAGCCTTCCACCGTCTCCGTGTGCACACTCACACCCTCCATCCAGCCTTCCACCGTCTCCGTGTGCACACTC